AGCTTGAAGAAGGTAAATAATAAATAATATGCTTTTACTTTGTATCCCATTATTTTGCGCATAACACATTGTCTCGAATGTAAAGGTTGTAGAAGGCGAAGGATCAGGTACGTACTTCTGTTGGTTGCATGCATAAGCAAAAAATATCAATACTAAAAATACGCTGTTTGTCTTTGGCTAAATCAGATACCTCTGCAAACCTGAAAAATCACTTGCACTTTGCATAAGCACTTGATTTGGTATTTTTTCCAAAACGGTTTGGGTAAAGTGAGACTAATACTTGCGGTATCTCTAGAGATTTAACCATCGCTATTATGGAGCAAGTTAGGCGCAATTACTTTCTCTTTTGCCCAATTTGCAACTGATTGCTGAAGATTGTCCTATCATTTGGAATAAGTGCATTTGAAGGCGGATCAAAGCGCTCTACTCTTTTCAGCGTTTCATCATATTCGCTGAGTTGAAACGTTTTTGAAGATTTTTGGAGTTTATTCGCTAAGTTGAAACTTTTTTGAGGATTTAGCACTAAACGCATTCACGAAGGGCGGGCTAGTAACCGAAATTTGGCTGCAGCCGCTGGAGCTGGGTAGCAAGAAAACGCAGCATTAGCAACGCAGTTGTAATTTTTGACGTCTGCACAGCGATGAGGCGCATGAAAGACAAGCGACACAACATCGATGAGGGTAGTACGCTGAGTTAATGAAGAGTTCTCTTGAAGAAGGCACAGCACTTAAAGCCTTATGCCATGAGAGAGTCATTCTCTTCGTTCACTAAAGCTTAACTTTATTGGTGGTATTCGATTGAACGAGCAATGAAGGCTGGATTCTAATCATAAATCAATCAAATTATAAGTTAGGATTTCTGAGAATTATAAAATAGTGAGGATCAGGTTTCTATTGAGTATTAATCGAAGTATCGAGTATTAAAACAATACTGTCTTCAAGCTTTTCATTACATCTACCTCTTTCTTGGAGTTAGCTGATTTTAACCTATGAATTTCTCAAAATTCATTTCCCTTTTCTATTAAACGGAAATTTTAGAGTGTTTTAAATCTAGATCTCTCGCTGATGAAAACAGTGAAAGTTCTCGACAAACTTCCTACTTAAAAATGAAATTGTGTGTTCATCCTTACTCATCAGCAAAGCATTTGCGGCCATGCTTTACACCTGACACAATGCCTAACCTTTGCTGTCTGACCTCTTTCATTTCACAAAAATCTCAATTTGTCTTATAGCGCACTGCAAACATAAAGAACATATACACACAAGTCGATGACGAGTCGCAAATCAACATAAATATAGCTGTCGATGGCGACAATTCCTTGATAAAAATTCTCGAACCCCGATGAATTATCCTGTCAATAATTACCACAGCTTGATCGCATGACCTTAATTGCATACCTAGTATCTTATGTTATGTTTTAGCAATTTCAGTGAATAAACCCTAAAGATTGGGAGTTTACAGGAAAAGCTTTAACTATCT